CCAGCCCATACTCCCCATTCAACCATATGGGGAGCAGAAGAAACATGTGATGAGTTCAGTTTTAATTTGTCAGCCTCCAGGAAGCAAGAAGGCTCAAACACTCCTAGCAGCTCTCCTGATACTGACAATGAAGTTCATCCTTCAAATTCGGAAGGATTTCAAGGTTTTCTTCAGGTCTGCTGACATCTTTTGGGTTCTCCTAGAAGCAAAATAAGTTTATACGTTTGAGTTGTTGACCTTGTTTATTTATGTGTTATCTCATGTATTAGGACTTGACTGGAGGAGAGGCTGATGGTGATAATCCTTATAATGATGATGCCAAAGACGAAGAGGAGTTTTATGCTAAATCACCACCTCGAAATGATGAGACTAATGAGTTGAAGGATCAATCTTTAGCTGACATATATTGGGTACTTGAAGAAATCATAATGTTCTTTTGTACTGGCATTATCTTAGCTGAGCTTACTTTTTTTTTTCTTGGCAGCCTGATTCACTCGGACCACTGGACTTGGACATACCGTCTGTGAGACATCAAGCCGATGACATACTGATAGGGGACAGTCAAAATAGTTGGAGCCGCCTGATGGCAAATAGCCTCGATGCATTTCGAAATCTGTCATTCTTCTCGGATAAGAATGACTCGATTCCATCGATCATTTAGAACTGGGGATGCTAGGGCTTCCACGACTTGCTGTGTTGGTTAGGAAGGAACCTCCAATGCTGCATTTCGCTGAAGAGTGAGCTTTATTTTGTCCAAGCGAGCTGTTTTTGCTGCTGATACGAGTACCCAACTGAAGCAGCTGTTTGCTGCTGATACGAGTATCCAACAGATGCGGATTTGATGCATAGGAGAGGGGCTCGTGCTGTTGTAAGATAACATAACGGATGTACTAACCTGTACTCCATGTAATTGTGGTGTCCTTGTACATAAAGCACATACAAGCACTTGGTTACAAGTAAAGCTTCTGGGGCGGTGTCTAGGATCAGTTTGCCTGATGGCCATCAAATGATTGTGCACTTCTTTCTCCCGGATTACATCTAATATGCCCGCCCGCCTGGGTTATCTCAGGTCAATCAGATCGTAGAATTGTGACAATGGAGGATAAAACTTTGATTTCTGTGTACTAGTTTTATTACTCTGACACGAAGGATTTCTATAAGATTAACTTCCTAACGATTTTTTTTTCATACGAGAGCTTTTAGAACATAGGATTGCAAAGTGAATAATCCTATATAATCCTTTCCTGGAACGAGGTCAAACCTCTGGAATCGCTCAGAGCAGTTACGCTTTCATCCTGGAATGGAAATGAACAGGAGAATAGCAGAGATCAAGGAAGCATAAATCTTGCGCGGTGCTCCAAGCCTCCAACCGACTCTGTGATACATGCGTGCAGGGCTACAGGCCCGTCTCAGTTTGGAACGACAAGGCCCAACTAAACCAGCCGGATATATATATACTGCGTGGTAACCCTAACCCCCACCAGCCTCGGCCTCTCCTCCCGGCTCCACCACACGACACTCCAGCCGCTGCCGCGACAACGCCATTACGCCACCGCCACCAAGCCTGGTCCGAATAACCCTGCTGGGCTACCGCCGCCGCCGCCGCCGCCCTTCGCCGATACCTTCGCCGGCGAAGAACGCCCACCAGGTATTCCCAACCCCATCTCTTCCCTGTCTGCTGTGCGAAACTGAGTTTTCAAACTCTTAACCTCAAGCTATTTGGGTATTTGATGACTACTTAAATTTTAACTCTTTGCAAAAAAACTATCTGGTGTACATGTGTACACCCATGTCCCTTTACTAGATCCGCCCCTGCGATGGATTCCGCGGTGAACCCGAAGGCGTACCCGCTGGCTGATGCGCAGCTGACGATGGGTATCCTCGATATCGTCCAGCAGGCCGCCAACTACAAGCAGCTCAAGAAGGGAGCTAACGAAGGTACCGGACCAATCCCTTGTGCACGTCTCCTGGCCTGTACTCTGTTAATTCTGGGGCTTTCTTATTCAATTTGTGTCTTTTGTGTTTGTGCGCAGCGACGAAGACACTGAACAGGGGGATATCCGAGTTCGTAGTGATGGCGGCGGACACGGAGCCTCTCGAGATCCTACTCCACCTCCCCTTGCTAGCTGAGGATAAGGTACTGATTTTTTTGCCCTTTCCCCTTTTGTTTTGTTTCGCGTACACTAGCGCGGTGTGATTATTGTTTTGTTTTTGCCCTTTGTTTTGTTGTATTGTGACTTGTGAGTGAGAATGAACGGTCCTTTGTTAACTCCTTAAGCTGTAGAGGATTTCTTATTTGCTTTGATTGCAATGAAGCCACTCTTTTGATGCTAGATATTCATGGATGCTTGCAACATTGTTGTCATATATGCTCAGTGTGTGTTACTCTGTCCAAAAGTAATTGCTTCAAGTGTGTTTTTTAGTTAATTATCTGTAAATGGTACCCCCTGCGTTTGAAAACATAATGCTCAATTTTGCGTCGCCTTCAACCAACATTTTTTCTATTAGTATGTAATTTTTGTGCCACGAGGTTGGTATCATTAGATCTGTATTCAAAACCTTTTTCTTATGACTATACTTTTTGATAACACAATAATATAATTATAGAGTAATTTCTCATTAAATTCTGCCATAACAAAATGAAACATGCCTTTTAGAAAAATGGAGGGGGTATGAATTGATGTGGCCCTCAATGCCAGGAGTTGGATTGGATTTTCTTATAAATTTGATGATAGCAGGTTTTATTCCGTTAAGTAACAGACATGTAGTGATAAATCAGCCCGGCAGTGCAGTCCTGTTAGCTGATAAAGCTTGCGTTTTTAGTTAGTTCTACATGCTTCTTTGTGCTCCCTTTATCCTGCTTATTTGATGACATGAACTACCTGTATACATCACTTCCTTTAGCAGACTTCTTAATGAATATGGCAACATTCACCATCTTCTTACAAATGTAGTGCTAGCAGGTTATATTCTGTTAAGTAACGGACATGTAATGATAATTCAATTCAGCCTGGCAGTGCAGTCCTGTTAGCTGATTTAGCCTGTGTTTAGTTATTTCTACGTGCTTCTTTGTGCTCTCTTTATCCTGCTTGGTTGATGACATGAACTACTTGTATACAACACTTCTGTTAGCATACTTAATGAATATGGCAACATTCACCATTGGACCTTATCCCAAAAAAATTCACCATTGGCTAATAAATTTGCCCTATGCTCTATGCAGAATGTGCCATATGTATTTGTTCCATCGAAACAAGCTCTTGGCCGTGCTTGTGGTGTGACAAGACCGGTCATTGCTTGCTCAGTGACCAGCAATGAGGGTAGCCAGCTGAAACTACAGATACAGGGTCTCAAGGTACTTAATATTCTGTCATAGTAGTTGTTGATACTGGATATTTTGTCTTATATATATTTGTGCATATCTTGATTCTGTAACATTTGTATGCTGTTTAATAGTCTTTTTTATCGTGTTGTAGATTAATCAAATTTAATGAATTGCAGGACTCTATTGAGAAGCTTCTCATCTAATTTACCGAAGACCTTTCAGTGTGATGGGCCTCGGGGACACATTTTTCAGAGGCTTGGACTGGTGATGGTGTCTTGTTTACTAGATTTTACGCTTTCCAAACTATGTTTGAACACTGTTAGGTCGATCATACTTGAATTGTGCTGCGTCTTATATTTGTGACTCATGTATTCTCAAGATGCCTCTGCATCCTGGTGGCTTGGTTTCTGTTGAGATTCCAACCATTATTGTAACGGTTGATTACAATGGGTTTGAGAATTGGATCGATTGGGTGGTTGCAACTTCTATGTGACTACTTATTTGGGCATAGTTCCTTGCATTTACATGGTTGTGCTGCCAATGCTGTATTAATTGATTTTCCTTGTTCTAATACTTGGATTTTTGTGGTTAAAATTGGCTGCCTAAATCGTCTTTTACGTTGCATGACCTCTAAGGCTCTAAGTCCAATCTCAATGGGTTTTATGTCTCAATTTTTAGGACTTTCATGTGTTACAAATAGTGTAGATAAGTTTTTATATATATATATATATATATGAAATGAAACTTATGTCATCACATGATATTTTTGTCATCTCTATTTATACTATATCTAGTTCTATTGAGACTGGTCTAATGTTCTACAGTAAGTAGTTTTAAATGAATCGGGCGAACTTTAGTGCGATAGAGAAATTTTGTAAATGACGGTTTCAAATGGGTCTGCGAGGTATTTTAAATCGGTGTTCGGCTGCAGGCCCTGAGTCGTTGGAGCACAGACACAGGCCGTGCAATTTTTAGCGTTCTCACAGTCACTCTCGCATGCTACTGCGCCGCCAAGCAGAATCGCGATGTGGTTCATTCCTCACCGCAGATCGTCGCGGTGGACGCGCCTCACGTGGGCTTGGGCTGGCAACGCGACCCACGTGCCGGTCCGTGATTGCGGGTTGCCGACGCTTATAGGTCGGTTCCGCGCCGTGGGCCCGCGTACACGTTTCGTGCGCCCCGGGAATACTCAACCCCGGCTCCGCCTGCAAGCGGGACCCACACGCTGTTAACCTAGCTCCACCCGCGACGCGGAGATGCAGCGCATCGCCATCCACAGCACCTGCTCACAGATCTGTTCCACTGACATAGCGCCCCACCACGGGCCTGTGCCAAGCTGTCAGCGACTCCGTACAGGAAACAACATGTAACCGAGACGGACGCGCTAGTTCCCCGCACGACTCGGCCTCCTCGCCCGACTTTAAATAGCGGCCTACCCCCTTCGCCTGGAAGAGACTCTCCTTTCCTTCTCCTACCGCAGCCCTAGAAATTTTTTCCCTCCCCGTAGAGGAACCCTAGCCGCCACGCCAAAACCAAATCCCGCCGGGCCCGAAAATTTCCGGTGGGTTCCTTGCCGCGAATCGATCGATTTCGAGCGATTCGCGGTTGATTAGGCCGGCTTTGCCGCCGATCCTTGTGATCTCTCGGCGGGGTAGAGCGCGGTCGACAGTCGACCATGTCGAGGTGCTTCCCCTACCCGCCGCCGGGGTACGTGCGAAACCCAGTGGCCGTGGCCGAGGCGGAGTCGACCGCTAAGGTTTGTTGAACCATCGGATTTACACACGCACGTGCCGGATCGTTTGTTCTTCCTATTGGTTTTGCTCGGATCTGTGGGTTGTGCGTGTGTGATGTGGGTATCGCACGTGCCGGGAAAGCTAACCCTTGCGGTGGAGGGAAGTGCCTGAATCCTGTGTAGCTTAGCTGCACGAGGCCTTTCAGATCGATTGAAAATTTAAGTTGGGATGGCCGCTGGTCGAGATTGGTTAAGTCCTATTTTCGAATACTGGTTGCATGGTTGTCGGGGACATTGAAAGAATGCTAGAACAACAAATTCGATTCAACAGTGTTGGATTTGCACATTTAGTCGGCCTAAAATTACATGGGCGTGAGCGGAGAGGTCCTGGCAGATTATTAAAGGGCGTACTCAGTGCAGAGAGCTCCCGCTTTGTGCGGGGTCGGGGAAGGGTGTCAGTAAGCCTTACCCTTGATGGTTAGAATATGAGCCATCGAGTGCTTCCCAGATGGTCAAATATTTGTGTTGCCCAAAATTTTGTTTGAAAATAGTGTCTGTCGAGTGTCAATTTGTATTTAACTGAATTTATAACTACAGTATGTCATATTTTGGCTAAGCTTGTGTAACAAGGGTCAGGTGGCTTTTTTGTAGCATTAGCATTCAAACGCCCTTTTGTATTGTTGCAAAGCCAAATTGATTTGAATTGGGAATTGTATCCCATTTTTTCTACTGTTTTTAGCGTTTTTTTTTCTCCTATGCTCCTGTGGTTCAGTACATGCATTTGTGTTCTCTTATTTTTCTGATGTAATATGTGTCACTGTTTTGTTGACCAAAGGAGTTCAGAATTACTTTGGTCCTGTATATCAATAGCAACTAACACCATTTATTGTGTTTATTGTTAGTTTTTTTGTTCTATAGAGTGTGCAATGTTGCAGGTCTTAACTGTTGCCAGGAAAGTAATGTGTTCAACATAATTGTAAACGAATACGAGTCTGTTGCTAACTGTGTAATTATGAGTCAATGATAATTGAATAATCTTTGTGAAGCATTACTGTCTGAACTGTACGCAAATGCTACATTCATTTCTTGTGTAATTGTAAATATCATAATACATGATATTGTCAAAATGCTGCATTGCATTTCCCGTCGGCCGTTCTAAATCAGAACTGACGATTGTTCTGGTGGCTGAAGCTCCAGAAAGAAAGGGAAAAGGCCGAAAAGAAGAAAGAGAAAAGGAGTGACAAGAAAGCTCCCCAGCAGGGTGAGACGTCCAAACATTCAAAGCACAGCCATCAGAAGAGAAAGCTTGAAGATGTCATCAAAGCTGGGCAGGATGCCAAAAGGAAATCGAAAGAATCAGTTGAGCAGTTGGAGAAGAGTGGACTCTCAGAAGAGCATGGAGCTCCTTGTTTTGTACAGACGATTCGTGACTCTCCTGAGAGCTCACAGGACAGCAGCAAGAGACGAAAGGTTGTCCTGCCCAGTCCTAGCCAAGCTAAGAATGGTGAGACTATTCTCCTGTTTTTGTTATTTTGATTTTTTATCAGATATCAGAAAAAAAAACAATCATTTGTTTCAGGATTTTATTCATCCTGACTTGTCATTTTACAGGGAACATCCTTCGCATCAAGATAAAAAGTAATCAAGAATCCCAATCAGCTCTTTTGGAGAAACCAAGGGTTCTTGAGCGACCATTGGTCCAACAAATGGGATCAGGCTCATCCTTATTGGGCAAGCAAAATTCAATTCATCATAAGGTGAATGTGAGATCTACCTCTGCTCAGCAAAGGGTAAATGGTGACTCCCAAACAGTACAAAAATATTTGATTACAGAAACCCCGTCACAGACTATGCAGAGAGTTGTCCCCCAGCTTGCAGCGAAGGTCACAAATCATGTTGATCCCCCGGTATCTTTTAAGGCGCCAGTTGGAAGATCGGACCTACCTCCGAAGTTTTTGGGAAGTGTGGACCCTTCACCTGCTAGAGTGATGGGAAGATTTGATCCACCTGTTAAGATGGTGTCACAGAGAGTTCAGCATCCAGATTGCATGGTGTCACAGAAAGTTGATCCTCAGTTAGCAAAGGTGTTACGGAAGGAAACGGGATCTGCTGTTTGCCTGCCAGAAGCTCCGCAGCCTCCTGTTCTGCAAAAGCCTAAGGACTTGCCTGTTCTCATGCAGCAGGAGCCCATCACCTCTTTGACAAAAGAAGAGCCTTGCTTCTCTGGTAGGAACGCGGAAGCAGTTCAAGTGCAGGATACTAAGCTCTCCCGGTCAGATCGGAAGAAAATCCGAAAAGCTGAGAAGAAAGAAAAGAAGTTCAGAGATCTGTTTGTTACCTGGAATCCAGTATTGATAGAGAATGAAGGTTCAGATGTCGGTGATCAAGACTGGCTGTTCAGCGGTACAAGGAACTCTGATGCTAGCATGGCTCAATGCAAAGCAACTGATGGTGTAGAGCCGATCCACCCAATGGTGCAGCAGCAGCCTTCTTTGCAACCCAGGGCGACTTTTTTGCCGGACCTTCATATCTACCAGCTGCCATATGTCGTACCATTTTAAACATCTGTTGAGGTAGATGAGAATTAGATGGGAGAGAGCTGTGTGGATGTAGGAGATAATGGCTCCCTGCCGCAGTTTTCCAGCTTTGTTCCAATTGTGTTTCTTTGAGGCCAATAGAGTTCTGGCTAAACTTTAATGTAATGTTGGTTAATTATTTCGCTCATTTATGAAAGCAGTTGAACTGCAAAAGCTTGTTTCTATGCTGTCATTGTTTTATGACACGCAGTATTTGTTCTATCCATAATCTCCCTTATCAGCATATATATGGATTAGTTGCAGCAACTGACAAGTGGTCGGCATTTTCTTGTTTGTGAAAATAACAACAGTAGGGTTCGCAAAGTACCCTTTTCGCTGTCGAAACTTTGTCAGGAAGCCTTTTGTCGCCAAAAATGTGGCTTTGGTGATTTTTGACTGTATACTGTACACACGGTCCCGGTAACCAAACCATACAACAAACATGTGAGGTACCGGGGGGAGGGTGAAGAAAGGAAAAAAATGAAAATACATGACCCCAAAATCGCAGGCGCGAATCAGTCGAAGCTGGACGATCGGCTCCAACGTTCTCGCAGGTACTCCTCCAACGGGCTGAGGCCGCTGCTGTGCTCCGTGCTAGAGATGGACTCGGAGTCTTCCACGTCAAGAAGCGCGAGGTCCAGGTGCGACCTCACGTTCGCCGCCGGGTAAGCCTCGTCGTCCAGGCAGTCCGGCTCCGTTGCGCCCTGGTCGGCGATGCTCGCCGTGGTTTCTCCTCGTAGTATGCTCATTATCTGCACGGCACAATAAACTGGTCAGTGAAACGCAGACTGCACGAGCTAAAGCTGGTTGGAGGCAGCCTGACCTGCGATATCGGCGGCCTGAGTCGAGCCGACCTCCGGAGGCAGAGCGACGCGGCAGAGACCATCCGCCTCACCTCCACCTCGTCGTGCTTTACGTCCAGCCTCGGGTCCAGCAGGTCAGAGATGTCGCCGCTGCTAAGCACCGGAGTTGCCTGTCACGCCAAGACAATTGTTACTCTCTCCTCTGCGTGCTGAATTACCACTTACTATAGTACTAAACATGAGATGGTTGATCTGTAGGATAGGATGGCGCTCTTACCCACATGACGAGACTCTCTTGGCCCTTGGGTGACGACCCGTCGCTGCTGATGGGCTTCCGGCCGGACAGGAGCTCCAGCAGGACGACGCCGAACGCGTACACGTCCACCCTGTCGGTCACTTTCCCGTACATGAAGTACTCCGGCGCCAGGTACCTGCATCGCACAGTAAAAAAACACATCAATTGGTGGGGACGAACCACAGAACACTGGGTAAGTACAACGCCACCGAGAAACAGGCTTGAAGGGAGGCGGTACCCGAATGTGCCGACGACGTCGCTGTGCGTCAGGGACGTCGGATTCGTCGGCGCCCAGATGGCCAGCCCGAAATCGGATAGCTGCCGCAACGGGGTGTTCACAGTTCAAGTCCAAACGAAAAGCTTCGCTACGACTAGGATCCGTGCCATGTGTGTATAGTGGTGGTGCGTCAGTGTTCGTAACTACCTGAGGCTCGAACTCTTCCGCGAGGAGGATGTTGGACGACTTGACGTCCCGGTGGATCACCGGCCGCGAGCTGCCGGAGTGCAGGTAGCTCAGGGCCTCCGCGATCCCCAGCGCCGCCCTGTACCGGTTCTCCCATGACAGCGCCGGCTTTGACCTTTCCCCTGCAGACCACAGCATCAGACGTCAGAGTGAAGAACTCAACTGCTCCCACACCTCTCAAATCTCAACTGTTCTGAACGCGACCCGTTTCAGTTTTCTGAGAAAAAAACTAGTCTCTTGTACGAATCGTTGTCCGCAGAATTCCCGGTTCCTTAGAAGCAAATCCACCGTACTGAGGCGAATTGGGTTTCCGGGTGACTTCACATGAACACAACTGAACATGTAACTGTCGACATGTGCTGGTACCGTGTAGGTTGTCCTCGAGGCTGCCCCTGGGGAGGTAGCTGTAGACGGAGATGAGGTTGCGGCCTTCCACGCAGACGCCGATTAAGGGGACGATCCGGTGGTGCTGCAGCTTGGTGATGATGTCCACCTCCCGGAGGAAGTCCTTGGACGCCTGCGCCGACGCCTTGGACAGCTTGATCGCCACCTGCTGCCCGAAGGCGAGGCTGCCCCTGTACACCCTGCTGTTCCCTCCGTTCCCAATCAGGTTCTCGCTGCGACAAGCCAAGAACGGGGGTTGGTGACGACGACGAATCGTGTGAGCTGCCTGAAACCTGAAAGGCGCGAGATTGACGATCAGGAGAGGAAGAAAGAACCTGCGGCGAAGTGGTTGGTGGAGTCGTAGAGCTCCTCGTAGCGGAACCACCGGCACCGGGCGCCACTGCCACCAAGCATTGCCTTGAGCTCCGACTCGAGCCTCGCCCCGGCATGCGGCTCGGCGGACTCCGACGGCGCGGATCGCCGGGGCAGGCTCATCACCCAGTGCACCACCGACTGCTTCCGCGGCTCCTGATTCTTGGCACTGGGCGTTTGTACAGGGGCAGCTGCGGCGGCGGCGGCGTGCGCGCGGCGGAGCAGCGGCCACCCGAGCCTCTGCTCGAGCGTCACGCTGCCGTCGCCTTTGGTGGCGTCGTCGAAGGACTTGGCTGCCGGCGCGGCCGCGGCGCCGTGGCTGCAGCTCCGGGTGTCGAAGTCCATGGACCGCGCGCTACGGTTCGGGTTCGGGATGATCACCTTGGGCTCCAGCCCCACGCTCGGGTGCAGCACCGTGCGGAGCACCGGCTTGGGCTCTGCTCCTGCACACCAGCTCGCCACCAAACGATTAGCGACTCGCTAACCAAAGCCTCCATAACTAATAACCACACTTAATTAAGGGGGCACTTGATTACCAAGTGGGGGCTTGGGCGCCTCCCGGACGAAGACGGCCTTGCCGTCCTGGATGGCGACGACGGTGGTTGTCGGCGGCAGCTTCTTGGCGCAGTACTTGGCCAGGCAGGACGACCCTCTGCGCAACCGCAACCAAAATGGGGGAAATTTTTTTTGCTAAGGAATGGTGACGAAACAAACAGTTAGATCATACAAAGGTTGCTGCCAGCGTGCTTACCCGAAGGAGTACTTCTTATTGGCGCCAAGCACCACGACCATGGCGGCGCAGAGCTTGGCCTCCTTCACCAGCTCCTTCTGGATCGAGCTCCCCGGCGTCACCCGGCCGACGAGAACGACCTGACACAAACCATTCAATGGCAGCATGTGAATTGAATCGGCAGCAACATGGCACACAACTCCCTTTAGCAGTCGGCACCAGCCCACTGCTCTCATTCCTGCCCATCCTTGCTCACCTGTTTCTGGTTGCAGAGGGCCTCGTACTCCGCCAGGTAGTTGTCCAGCGTCCTGATCAGCTTCAGCGTGTTCGTCTTGTCTGCAACGAGAAACAAGAAAATGTCAACAAAAGGAAAAAAAAACGCTAATAATTCCCAACCGCTTCACCGGGATTGGAACTGAAACGAGCTGCCAAGTTGGTTCATGGCAGATACCAACCGGACTTTCGGTAAATGTGCACGGCGACGATGCTGTCGCCCCGCCTGGCCTGCTGGTGGAGCGCCCACCGGAGCAGGTCCCTGCCGACGGCGTCCATGTGCAGCCCCACCAGTATGCACCGGCCGACGCCCTCCCCGTGGTCCGCCGCCATGACGCCCGTGAACGATGGCCGAGGGCCGGCTCGCAGCTCCACTCCAGAGATCAGCAGGAACCGCAGTTGTCCATGGCACAGCAAGCGGGTAAGTAACCAAGCGAGGCCACTGGTTTGCTCAAAACTAACCGCCGTGGACTTGCTGCTGTCACAAGACGATCCGGCGCAGGGCAACTGGCTGCGAGCCTGCAACCAATGTCTGACCCGGAACCGCGGCGCTGGAATAGAAAACTGCCGAGGCAGCGGTCGTCGCCTGACGCCTGTACAGGAAACTGGAAAGCGAGCGCGCGAGCGAGTTCCGTTACCAGGAACCCCCGCTGCTGGGTAAGGTCTCTCCGGCCACCCACTCGCTTTGTGGCTGAATTCGCTGAACCCGAACCGAAAGGCGCGGGCGCGGCGGGGGAGGCCAGAGACGAGGAGGAAGATACAAGCGCAAGCGACGAGAGCGGGAACTCCTGGGGCCGGACCTGGGCGGGCGGAAAAGGAGGCGTCGCGGCGAAGGGCGAGGGGTGGGAGGCGACACGGGTAACCACCTAAAATCTGGTTAGCTTGTCAGGTTTCAGCTGCTGGGGCGCGTATTAAAATGGTTGCCGTCATGGCGCCACGCCGCCCGGGATCGCTCGTCGCCAAAGGCTCAACCACTCCAACCACGCACAAAAAGCACGAGGCCGAGGCCGAGGCCGGCCCCGTCCCGTCCCTTGCGGCTTGCGCCGTTGCTCGGAGGCGGAGGGGAGGACCGGACGAACGGCCAGTCTTGCCGGCCCCCGTCGCCGGTCAGCGCAGCGCGGGCGGCGGGCGCGGCTGCTGTTTTAGCGCAGCCTGCCGGTGCGGCAGTGGCGGTAGCAAACAACGAGACGGTGACAGCGACAGGATCACAGGAAGCCGGCGAGAAGGAGGCGAAGCGGAGATGACGCGATGCTGTGGCCTATGTGGGAGGAATGGGAAATGTGGGCAATAGGATCCGCGATGGTGGTGCGATGGGGCGAGGTGACGGGGACGATGAGCGCATTGGGCAAAGAATTCCTTGGTGGAGGTTGGAGAGGCAAGGGGTGGAAAGCGAGCGATTGGAGAAGCAGGACAGGGCGCCATCGGCGATGGCCGATGGGTCCATAACTCCCATACACATCGCAAAAGGGCGAAAAAAGGACGAAAATAGCCCCAGAAGTGGAAAAAGAAATCGAGAGTGCTCTGCTCACTGCGAAAGTAAAAGGGAAATGCTTCGTTGGGATCCATGAGGATTGCACGTGGTTATTACGTGGGTTTCAACGGGGGATTAGATGGCCTGCGCGAAAGATAAAAATACTGCTGCTGGACTGGATTCTCTCAAGGTCAAATGGAAAAAAAAAAAAGCGTGTGTTACTGTTAGTTGCTGTACTTCTGAATTGTATTGCGTGCTGCCAATCGAATCACGAATTCAATGCGCGCACTGGGACAGGTGCAGGATAGTCATCTACTACTATGATAGGAGTCCTTTTTATTTAAAAAGTTTCATTCGATCTAGCATGTTGCAGGATAGTTGATGGCGACTTTGTGGCAGGTTTTTTTATGACGGTATCATCAATTGGAGTAGTTTCTTTTCTTTTCCGAATATCAATTATAGTTACTTGTACATTGGCAAAAAGAAAAGGTGCACATACATAGCATGTTGCGTATATAGTCAAATACTATTACATGCACATTATGGAGAAATGTAGCAAGAAGTTTATTGATAGTTCTAAAGCATATATTTTTCCTTCTCCCTCTCTCTCTCTCTCTTGCTGATGAACAATTGACTCAAAAATCCTATATTTTTTTTCTCTAATGCTTCATAAACCTTTCATATTGTAAGTACTTTGTATTGTTTCTTGTTCCCTAGTATTATAGGATGTTCATATAAGCAGCTCCTAATAGTGGAAATCTGATAATTGTGGTGAGAAGTGCCCTCGGTACTATTACTGAAACCCATGTACAGTTAATTAGTGGTAGCAATGACTGAATTTTTTTAAAATAGTACAACGGTACCACGACCTCCCTCTGTCCAAAAAAAATAAAAAAAAATAGGCCTTATTTGGATCACAGTTAGATTACAATAATCAGCTAAAGTAATCTAATACTACTTGAGTAGTGATCTAAATATGAGAGATTATTGAGTAGTTGGCTTTTATAATTCAAGCACCGGATTGTAATAATCATGTAATCCACTTGAGACATGCTAATTGGACATTATGGATGCTAAACGACCAACTCGCCCCTCAACGTTTGCAAGGACACTATTGGTTATTTGTACTCTAACCAATAATAATCCCCCAAACAATTTGGATTATTATAATCCACAATCCATTATAATCTCATCCATAGCATAGATGACTATAAATCAGGTGGGATCTAAATAAGACCTTACAATGCCAAGTCATACAATTTCTATTCGACCCATTTCTTCAAAAAATACTATTAATTTATCATATCAAGTAAGTCTTATTAGAATAGATTTGTCCTAAAATATTTTTTAATACAATTGTTGACACTGTTTTCCATTATAATCTCTTTCGTCACATAGATGACTATAATTCAGGTGGGATCTAAATAAGACCTTACTTACAGTGCCAAGTCATACAATTTCCATTGGACCCATTTCTTAAAAAAAATACTATTATTTATTATATCAAGTAAGTGTTATTAGAATAGATTTATCCTAAAATATTTTTTTATTATACTACTGTTTTAATCACAATTGTCGACACTGTTTTCTATAATTTGATTAAACGGTAAAAAAGTTTGATTTTGACTAAAATCTAACAGAGCACTTTTGTAGACGGAGGGGGTAGAATTCCCAAATGTCCAACTGCTATAAAACAGTGCTTTCGGCAGACATACTTACCGAAAGGATAAGACGAGGATAGACACTGACGTGTTGGTTCGATCTGTATGCAGCTTATGCAGCTGACGACGCTGACCGGTGTGTGTCGTGCAGGCTGAGGCTAGGCAGGACGATTTCAGCTCAACAATGCACGTCAATTCCTAGTACCGCTACCTGTAACGGTATATAAAAACATTTCCGTCCCGATCGTACAGTAGCACTCCTGTCTGCTGACCTGAAAAACCTGATGGTACAGAAAAATATCCTTGCGTGCATGCCTAGCTTATCCTACGTAGGTGACACAACCATCAGACAGTCATAAAACGTTTGTTTACAAATTTGCAGGTGCTTCTGTTGTACTCCTGCTTCCACTTCCGGAGCAGCCGGGCCAGCCGCTCGCCGGGGCGTTTTCCGGCGGCAAACCCGCGCGGGGAGCCGGCTGGCGGATCAGCCAGCTCTCTGCTCTCGCCGGACGCCGAGCGTGCGCTGCCGTGTCACGCACGCGCGGCGCGGGCCATGTGGGATGTGGCGAGCGGCCGAACACGACGACGCGGTCGTTTTGGGGACTAGGAGAAGGCGGGCGGTGACGGTGACGCCGACGCGAGCGGCAGGCAGGTCTCGGTCTCCCACCCGTGGCAACCGGAACGAAAGAGAAAGCGAGCGACAGGTGAGTCCATCACTGGATGGCCGGTCTTCCCCAGTTGCTTGCTTGGCACTTGGGCAGGGACGGCGGCCGGACCGACGCGCGTCGCCGTTGTTATGCAGTCCAGCTATCACCGATCATTTGTTCTAGTCTGAGTCAGAGTCTGTAAATAGCATTTGCTTTTATTAGTCAGTAGCTAAATTTAGTTAAGCTTGCGGCAACTGGTGAGTCGTGGGATGGCACGACAAGTGGTGCGCTAGGTGCTGCGCGTTCTGTGGAGAATACCTCCCCACTTATGCATGTAATTTTTCTTTAAGTACTGCAATTAATATATGAAAAACGCTGCCAGTTGACGGCACCAAAAAAACCGACTGTGTTTTCTGAATGCGTCTTCCAAGGATCGCCGGCTGCTTCTCACCGGCGGTTCTCCAACATTTGGCATCAGAGCGGTTAGAGTCTGGGAACAATGTCCGCCCCACTGTCCGGCGGTCGTTCGCCATCGCCACCACCGCACCGTCGAGTTTCTCAATCGCCAGCGCCGCGCCGAGGGCGCCGAGGTCGCGATGAGGTCATCGTCGAGCGCGTGGTCAAGGAGCAGACAAGCGGCGCCATCCAGTACCCCATGCTCACGCGCTCCAACTATCAGGAGTGGGCGCTCCTGATGAAGGTTAATCTGCAGGCGGCGGGCTTATGGCACGCCGTCGAGCCGGAGGAAGGGGAGGAGGTGCTCATCGAGTACCGCGAGGATCGCCTCGCCATGGCAGCCATCCTGCGGTCTGTGCCCTCCGAAATGCTAGGCTCACTAGCCCGCAAGCGGACGGCGCGATCGGCATGGGCGGCGGTCAAAACCGTTCGCGTCGGGGTGGACCGAGTGTGGGAGGCCAACACCCAGCACCTACTCCGGCAATTCGGCGACATCGGCTTCAACGAGGGTGAGTCCGTGGACGACTTCTCGCTCCGTATCATGTCTCTCGCCAACACCATCCGCACTTTGGGCCACGACATCACCGACGCCCAGATCGTGAAGAAGATGCTCCAGGTGGTTCCTGAACATCTCGAGTAGATTGCTTACTCCATCGAGACGTCAACGAGCTCTTGGTGGAGGAAGTTGTCGGGCGTCTGCGCGCCATCGAGCAGCGCAAGAAGAAGCCGGCCTCCACGGCGAATCGTCCACCGCCGACAAGCAGGGCCGCCTGCTCCTCACGGAGGAGGAGTGGATGGCACGGCTCAAGCTGCGCGAGTCCGGCGAAGGCGCCGACTTCAAGCGCGACATGATGCGGCTGTTCTCCATGAGCGACCTTGGGTTGCTCTCATACTACTTGGGCATCGAGGTGACACAAACCAAAGCTGGCATCACCCTTTGCCAATCTGCCTATGCAGGGAAGCTTCTGGAACGCGGCGGTCTGGGCACCTGCAACCCAAGTGCGCTGCCAATGGAGCCCCGCCTGAAACTGAGCAGATCAAGCACCGCTCCCACAGTGGATGCTACGGCGTACCGGGGCATAATTGGTGGCCTGAGGT